TCCTTCGTTTGTTGGGTGTACGTGCAATCTCGGGCGATACGATAGTATTCTTGGGCGGTGCGTTGTTCACGCCGGATACAAAATATTCACCGTGGAGTTAGGAACTAGACTACTTGATAGAGGCTTGACGGTATGGCCCTCACGGCGTGTATCCACGACCGCCCTACGATAGTGTTGTAAGTTATGTCTTGGTTTATCACATGGAATGGTGTTTCTAGGGTGATGCCCCCGTCCAGAATCGGTAGCGTTATCTCCACGGAGGTTTGCTCAACTGCATTATAAAAACTTGTTAGTGTTACGCAACGCAGTACTATCTTGTCCTCGAGTCTCATTTCTGCGAGGACTCGAGGGTGGATAATACATGCGTTGCTTCCGTCGTCTACCATTATTCTTCTTACATCAGTGTTTGAAATATGCAAAGTAATAACAAGAGCATCGAAATGAGGGAAAGTCAAACCGTCGGTATCTGACTTATCGAAAATGATACTGTCTTCGAGGTCGTCGTATCGTTCGTGGGCGATTGACCATTTCAGTTTATGCGTAGTGGTGAACTTCACATGGCTTATTTTTGCTTCATCGCCTCCACCGATGATCATTTGGATGGTACGAGCGGGAGAGGGTGGCTTTGGAGGTCCCTGGTGTTGTTCGCGTCTGCGGGCAAAGTTGGCTTGTCCACGATCACTTATCAGTTCTCTTAGGTGCCCTTGGTTTAACATTCTTACTACCTCTTACCGCAGACCTATGCAGTCCTTAGTTTTGTGACCCCGCTCTTGGTGAAATGCATAGAGGACGTTCGACTTTTGAGTATTTGGGTCGGACTTCATCTTTTGTGGTCATTTCACCTTCATGCCGAGCTTCTCTAGTGCGTACACTATTTCTGAAGGGGAAACACAAAAATTGTGAGCGGATAAGAGTGGAGGCATACCTCTTTCGTTTTGTTGAGTCCCTGTGTGCGNCGGACTTCATCTTTTGTGGTCATTTCACCTTCATGCCGAGCTTCTCTAGTGCGTACACTATTTCTGAAGGGGAAACACAAAAATTGTGAGCGGATAAGAGTGGAGGCATACCTCTTTCGTTTTGTTGAGTCCTTATGTGTGGCATGGGCAGCCCTTCTGTGTGTCGAGGAGGTGGTGGGACAATTGTTCTGACATAGTGCTAATGTCTTTCTCGGCTAAGATCGGGGCCCAACTGATCCCTTCGACTGTCGTTACGATGATATTTCCTTGATTTTGCTTGAACTGACGTCAGTCGTTGGGTCAGACAGTTAAGGTCGTCCTCGTCGGCTCTCACTTCGGCGCAATAGACATTGTGGATTTCTTCCCAAGTGGTGGAAGGGTACTTCATGAGCCTGCTTAATAGTTTTCCGGTTGCTCTCGACCCGTTCCTGCTCAACCCATTCTACAAGGCCGTTACCGCCATTGCTTCTGATACATTTGGTAGGGTCATTCTCACCCTGTTGAACCGGGCGAGGAAGTCCCTGGGTCCCTCGCCAGGCGATTGCTTTACGGCGAATATGATATTCACTATGGCTTTCGCCTTTTTAGCCCTTGCATGGGCAGTGATAAACTTGTTGGCCATTTCCTCGAACGTTGTTATTGACCGCACCGGTAGTTATGAATACGAGGTTAGGGCCCCCCTGTTAGGGTTTCACCGAACTTTTTCAGTAGCACCGATGGTACTTGCTCAATCGAAAGATCGTTACCCTTCACCGTTGTAGTGTAGTGGACGATATGATCTTCTGAGTCTGTAGTACGATCGTATATCTTCAGGTACGATGGCATTTTGAAGGTTTTAGGGATGGCGTGTGGAGCCGCTTTTTCGTTGTACGGTTGTTCGACGAATCGACCAACGTCTCGTTTTGGTAGTAACTTCGGGGCGCCTGGTATCTTATCGACCCTTTCTTGGTGTTCTTTCATATGGTTGTCGAGCGCCTTATTTTCGTTTTCCATTTCTTTCATTTTCTTTAGAATGGCTGCGAGCACATCATTACCTGCATCAACAGTTGGGTAAATTTTACCTGTTTGAGGAAGTGGCTGCTCGCCAGTAGTTGTTACGATATCTGCTTGCACAGTGTTTCCGTTCTCCCTCTGAGTAGGTATGTCGAGGATATTGTTTAGAGTGCTTGTCAGCCACTCTTCTAGTAGTTTCTTCACTGCTGGTGGTGCTTCTTCAGCTGTGGATGTGGAGGCTCCCTTTCGCGCGAAACCGTCATGCTTTCGTGAGGGGGAGGTAAAATGCTTCGACTGGGCGTAGCGTTTGGTATCACATTCTCATCGTCTCCCATGCCATCTTCGCTGATGGTGTTCAAAATGTTGGTAATGACTCTTGCTATCGCTTTCGGTCTCGCATTTCCTTTTCCTGCCATCGTTAGTTTGTGCAAACATGGAAGAGATGACTTTTTTATGATCTAGAAAGAATTATAGTTTCAACTAAAACCTTCCCACAGACGGCGCCAAATTGTTTGAGCAAATAATTGTTAAACCAATTAATATTAAGTTAATAGTGTGAATCTCAGTTAAACTTAATAAATCCTAGACCAAATAAAACAAAACTCTTGTATAACGAGTAGAGTTTAGGAGCATTAAATAGCGATCTTAATATGCTACGATTGACAAAATATACAATATCATAAATGTATAATAAATGTGAGAAATAACAAGGGTTATAGTGTAAGGGAATTGTCACCCAATGATTTGTGTTATTGGGTGTTTCCTTTCTCTGATGACGTGGAAAGGTGAGCCGTCAATATGAGCATGGGGTCTTGAGATTTATGGATAAATATTGAACAACATGTGCTTGGATAAAATGGGTAAGACGACACTTTTGTATATTCTTTTCTCCACTTTACAATATCTCTCAGTTCTCCAAAAAGTCCGCCTTTTTGTTCTTTATCTCTTCCTATTTATAAGGGATATTCCCCCAAAACCCTAAAAAGCACAGCATAGAGAATATCCAAAGGAATATTCTTCATGTTCGTTTCTGAACCTAAATTACCGTTACTGTCCTATCTTAGTTGCCCGCTTCTAGCGCCAGCCTTTATGAGGACGACCTTCAGTCGTTGTGTCGTGGTTGACCCCGTCTTTTGTCTTGCTAATCCGTTGTCGTGGTTACCAAATTTGGACTTATACAATAGTGTCCTTAACTTCATGAATGATGCATAAATATTACGGACAAAATGTCCTTATTATTTACACAACACTCATGAAGTTAAGGACACCATGTCCTTAATATTTACACAACACTCATGAAGAAAGGGTAAAAATATTTTTTCATATTAATTTTAATAGAGTAGTGACTATTTTTGCTCAGCATTAAAAATATTGGATAAAAATTAAATACCGCATTAAAAAGTGGCTATCTCACACCATTTTTATTACCCCTGAAGGGTAGAGAGGCTGTTTCCAAAAAACCATCGGCTTAAGAAGACGAAAAGAGGAAATATATCAATACCATCAATAAAAATCATAGAAAAAAATAACAGCATCATAAGAACCAGGAAATAGCCCTTTGAAAAAAAATGATTTATTTGTAATTTATATAGCGGTTCAATCATTTTCGTCAGGTTTCTGCTTAATACTTACCACAAAATATACATTATTACTTTTATAAGTGATATTATTGTGTATTAAATAATACATACGCATTCCTTTACTTTGTTTACGCATATAGAACTTAAAACTCTTTAAAAACAAATGTTTTCGCATCTTTTTATTTAACGCTTACAAATGTCCTTAACAAATTGTACCAGATACAATGGCGGATCTAGAATATAGTATATGGGTTTCAGGGAATTTAGTAATTTTTGAATAGACTCTATATTTTAATTAAAAATTCACTAAATATTTATAAATATTTAACTATAAATTTAATTATTATTGTATATTAATTTAAGATTACAACATGAATCATACGTTTCAAAAGAACTTTTCTTTTTGGAATGAGACTACCATGTGGAGGGAATTGAAGCCTTTAAATGAACTAGTACTGGGATTCTGTTATCTGTGCAAAAGCGACAGATGTGATTGTTATTAAATTCATCTTAATAAATTCATGGTATTGGAGAAGAAAATAAAGGAATAAAACTAATCTTATTTTAGTTCAAGTTATAAATGATGTGAGAGAGAAGTGAGAAAAGAATGAAAATTCAAGTTAAGCACTCAAGAAAATTAAATGGTCATAAATTTCATCTTAATAGAAAACCCAATTTTACTCACCTTGATGATAAAATTAATCTTGACAGTTTTACTTTGTATTCCTATAAGAAGCTATTTTCACGAATTGAACCTGCGATCTTCTAGCGATTACCTACACGACAACTACACTTTTATAGTTGCGCCAAAATACTTCTTTTAAGATTGTGTTTATTATAAGGTAATTTTCCGTTTTATTTTATACGAGTATTTTATCACGTAGATTTTTTTTAAAATTGTAATATTACAAGGAAATAACTTTTTTTATGTGAAAAGTATCCCAATTTTAAAGCATTAGAAGGCACTTGAGAATTGACCACACGCAAATCTCAAGAAACCACGAATATAGGGTTAGTTAGCAGCATGTGGGGTGCATATTCCATTATTTCACTAACCAAACTAAAGCTTTCTTTTCCATAGTCTCTACCTTTCTAGTACTAGTACTATTTACTATTCCTATTAAAAAAAAGTTATTGCTTATAGACAAAGGGAAGTAGAAATGTGACTATCAAAGCAATATCACATGCAATTAATGGAGGGTGAGCAATTAATATGAGAGATCCGAGTTCAAATTTCAGCCGAGATAAAAAAAATAAAAAAAAAATTAGGTGATCTTTTTCTTATTTACCTAAGTTTTGATGGCAAAATAATTAAAGTATTCAGAGTTGATTGCCTACATCACACCTTTTTATGAGCTAACTAGTCGTAAATGCGCGATATCCTACCATTACAAACAACATAAATAGTGAGCTATTTATTCAAGGCTTACTCCTACATACCCCACCACCAATAGAGGCAGCCAATATTGATGATCTCGTGAATTTTAACTTTATACTTTCTCTATCGTAAGCCATCTCTACATCATTCATATTCATACTATAAAACTAAACCCTTTTCTTTCTCTTTCTTCCCCTCCCATTTTCCCCCACCTATAGAGTAGTTATCACCAAGAAATTCATTTTTATGTGAATTCTGATCTATCATCACTTTCAAGAGAGTCTTAGTTCTCAAACCATGGGTGGTGACAACACTGAGAAGGTATGTTTGCTCTCAATCTCCTATAATGTTTCCTCCTCCGTCGAAAATTATACTGTACAGATAAAATAAATTACCAAATCGCCTTTATAGAAAGGAAGATTTGTGCAGTAATTAACAAAGATAGTTCAAAATTGTATTAGGTAACATGTTTGAATTTCAAGCATGATATTTTTGCATTTATTATGTCACTGTATAATTTTTAATAGTATATTTCTTGACCAATAACTTACAATTCTTTTGTTAAATAGACCACTATAATGGTGCTAAAGGTTGATCTTCAATGCACAAGCTGCTACAAGAAGGTCAAGAAAGTTCTCTGCAAATTCCCTCGTGAGTCTCTTTTTGCAACTCTAAATTTAGAGCAAAATTTTCCTTTGAAATTTCAGTTTTTCATTTTTATATTTCAATGAATAATGAGGATACTGCTATTAAGGACAAGAATATGTATGGATGAGAACTGAGTTGTTTTTTTCTCTTTTATCCTTTTTGGTGTGTGGTATTAAATATTTTGGAAAAAAGAAATTCGAGATCAGGTGTATGATGAGAAGGCCAATACTATCACCATTACTGTATTGTGTTGCAATCCTGAAAAAATTCGTGACAAATTGTGTTGCAAAGGAGGGGGAGTGATCAAGAGTATCGAGATCAAAGAGCCTTCAAAGCCTAAGGCTCCTGAAAAGCCCAAGGAGCCCGCAAAACCTAAAGAACCGGAGAAACCTAAAGTGCCCGAGAAGCCCAAAGTGCCTGAGAAGCCTAAAGAACCAGAAAAGCCCAAGCAGCCGGAGAAACCCAAAGAGCCCGAGAAGCCTAAGGAGCCTGAGAAGCCAAAAGAACCGGAAAAACCAAAGGAACCTACGAAACCCAAGGAACCCGAGAAGCCCAAAGAGCCTGAAAAGCCCAAGGAACCCGAGAAGCCCAAACAACCTGAAAAGCCCAAAGAACCTGAGAAGCCCAAGGAAGCTCCTAAACCCGCACCGGTAGCTCCACCACCACAACCACCACCACCGTATGCTCCAGAGCCAGTGATAGTGATGCCAGTACAAGGATACCCGCAACAACCGCCTTCAGGATATGGTGGTTGTGGGCAATGTTACGAATGCTATCATGGAGGCCCATGTTATCATTGGTACGGAAGACCAGTACAACCCGCCCCTCCACCGGGCCCATGCTACCATACGAATTCGTATGGTTACGGGCCCGGGCCTGTTCCGTATGGACTCCCAAAAGGCTGTTATGTAAGCAAATGCAATGAATACTTCAGTGAAGAGAATGCAGCTGGATGCTCAATTATGTAATCAGTGGGCCGTTGTCTGGGCCCATGCCACCTTTTAATTGGGTTCTTCTTGAAGTTTCCAGAACTAAAGTTTGGAATCCTTTTGCATGTTGTTATCATATCAGAGATACAAAAACAATGCATAAGGCTTACTTTTAATAGAAAAGTTTACAGAGAAAATAATTTGGTGACCAGATGATTGGTTACCTGCCTTGTTATATAATTCGTTAAATATTTTATAATAAAATCTCTTTGGTTTTCATTCTGTTTTCATGATACAAGAGATTATTCTTTTTTCCAATTTTATTTTTTGGTGTAACAATTTAAATCTATTATTTCTTTTATCATCCACCACTTTGTGCTCCATGCAAGCTTAAATATAATATTGAATTTCTTTTTTATGGTCTCGAGTAGATGGATCCCACTTATGTAGCCTTCTTGGTATGTAGTTGTTGTTGTTGGTTTCGAGCAGATGGTGAGTCGCTCGAGGCTTAAACATGTTAAAATGGCAATCTCTAAGAGTATTTAATTAAATATAACGTTAATTAAACTCTTAACTCAAGTGGAATGAGAATTACTAAAAGAAAAGCAAGTGAATCATAATGAAGCCAGAATTTGTTGAGATCAATTAGGTGTTAATGGTGTTGATTAAAAATAAAGTAAAGCAAGCTTATGATTTCTATTATATGGGTCTTTATTGGTTAATCATTGCTATTCAATATTCAATGATGTAATAATGCTGATAGAAACCTAACATAGAAGTCTTAGATTTTGAGTTTCAGTATTACTCGTAATTAATATATTTTTCACACGCTCGACTCAATAAAAAGAAACAAGACATGTTATAAAAAGAGCGTTCAACATGTAAATAAAACAATAGATTGAAAAATTATTTTCATATTTATTTATTTTATTGGATTTTTTTCCACCACAAACAGTTTTACCGTGTCCAATTAATTAATCCCACGAACCAAAAAAAGAAAACGCTCTTACATCGCTATTTTGGAAAACTTAAACAAGTGAGAAAAAATGTTTAGCCTTCTAACATGTTAAATATTGAAAAATGACACTGTATAACCGCTCTCAAAATAATAACCGAAAAAATACATATTTTTTGTATAGATGATGATAGGCTATAATTACGTATTATAGTCGCTTATTACACTCAAATTTATTGCACTTTAGTTGAGTTTGCATTTTAATCGTTAGTGTTTTTCACTAATTGTGTATTTTATGCCTTGAAGGAGTGATTCTGAGCTATATAGATGTTATGGAATGAATTTAAGTGATTTGGAGTTTTGAAGTATGAGTAAAAGCCCAAGGATTTAAGCCGGGATCGTATTCGGGGATCAACGGATGATAGAGCAACAAAACGAAGAATCGAGTAGGCATATTGCGCACTGTCTAGTAAAATGTACATAACTTTTTTCTCAAAAGCTCCATTTGGGCTCCACAATATATGTTAGGAAAGCTAATTCAAAGGGCTACAACTTTCATGTTTTATGTTTTTCTAAATTTCAAACGGAACAAGGTGAAAAACGTGGTCGAAAACGCGACCGCGGACATGAGGCGGGCTGAGGCAGTACACTAGGAAAGTACCGCGCCCGGGCCGCGGCCGCGGACGTCCAGGCCTGGAAACTTGTTCGTTTTCGCGTAGGAGAAGGTATAATAGTTTGGGCCCGACCCTACTTGGTATATATACATGGAAAAACAGTATTTTGCGGGGAGGAGATCAATTTTTGACACAGATTCGACCTAAGGAGACAGAGACACAATAGGAGCAAGGCGGAGAATTCTTCTACGAGTTTTTCCTTCCTCTTCCTATTTTTCCATTGTGGTTATGACTTTTAGTATTGTAGTTTTACATACTATTATGAATAGCTAATGTGTTACCTAGGGTTTTGATAGAACATTTTGTAGGATAAATTCTTGTTATATTTTTATATAATTGAGTCGTTGGATTTCTCTACTTGTTCAACTACGTGTTTGTTGTTGTTGATTGAATGGCCATCAACTGATTGTGCGTATTTAGTGTGTAGTGCTCGAGAGAGAGTACATATTTAGGTAGTTGTTTAACAACGTCACTCCTAACGTATATGAGAAATCAACACAGTGGGTGTAAAGGCAGGTTTAGAAATAACAAAGCCTTGACGTGGTCATAATGAGCGGTTAGATAAAACCAACTAGCGTAGTTCGAGAGAATATGTCTAGTAAATTGTTGTAGTTGCTCGAGAGAGAATTACGACACCTAAAGTGCTCACGATCAGTAGAGAATACATTGAAAAAATTGTAGGGAACTTAGCTAGAAGGATTCTGACATTTGGGGAATCATAACTCTAGACCTCCTTAATTAAGTCTCCAACCCTTAGTCTAGTTAGTTGATAATTTTACCGTTTTGTAGTATTTGCTAGTTAATTAGTTAGAAATATAAATATCAATCTTTATAATTTAGAAAATTGTTCAAACTTGTCTTTTTAGTGATATTAAACAAATATAGCTAAGCCTTAGTTCTCTGTAGGATTCGACTCCGGACTTTTAGACCGGATTATATATGCAGCGACCATTTATCCTTTTTAGGACTAGAGTTGGGCGTGATCAAATTTTGACATCGTTGCGGGGAACTAACGGTGTAGTTGTAGCTGTATATATTGCTAAGGTTCAAGTTTTAACTTTTATTTTATTTTGTTTTGTTTTGTTTTTGTATTTGTTTTTATAACTGTTGATTTGAGAAACATGACATCTTAGAATTATGGGAATTTAGGTGTAGATAATTCTACTATTGATTCTCATACATATTGTGAAGGAAACCACCCGTATCAAAATTATCAAAATTATCAAAATATGCCTCAGAGCGAGTTATTTGCACCAACTCAATCTTATTTGTGGAATGTGTGTGATTTGTGTGGTGGTAAAGATGGTCACTTTAATGGTTGTGCTTATATTTCTTATCTTCCCCCAACCCCTTATTATGATGGTTCTACCTTTTCTTGTGAAGTTAATAGTAACAAAGAACTTGGCGATGCAGACCTGAAGAAGATCAAGGATATGTTAAAGTGCCTTCTAAAACAAAATAATGAAAAATAATTGCAGATAGAAAGGCAAGAGGCAACTATTCACAAGTTGGAGGCTCAATTGAGTTAAGTGGTTGTAGATTTTAATGCTCAACAAACCAATATTGATGATAGTAGCCAAGAAGAGTATGAATTTGAGGTATTAATTGGGGAGGTCAGAGTAAAACATCAACAACCTAGCCAACTACAATTTGAGGATGTCAATGTTGAAGAAGTGAAACTAGAGTTAGCCAATGACATTGAGGATACAAATTTTGTTGACTGTAGTATCATTAATGTTGAGGATGCTGAAAGTCCTGAAGTTCATGTGTGTTAGCGCATTGGTCCTCACTCCAAACATTTTTCTACATTGTGCTTGGATGACGATATGGAAATAGAGTCATCCAAGCCGATTGAGAAGTCAAGGAATGAGGAACAAGGTGCCTACATTTTGGAATTGTTTTTGCCAGAAAGACAGGATTACATACCCCATCTAAAAGCCAAGAAGTGTAGAATAGTACAATGGTTGCTTGGGCCAATTAGATTGTTCCTCCACCCCTAGAGCATAGCCGAAAACTTGATGGCAAATGGGGGTTCAATTCATAAGCTCGAGGTGGAGGCAAAAAGTGATTCGTATCATGCCGCGACGTTAAATCAAGTGCTTGTTGGGAGACAACCCAACTTTATTGCTTTCTTTTATTTATTATTTTTTTTATTGTATTATTTTTATAGTGTCAATTTTTTATTTTCTAGGAGCATGGAAAGCAAAGGTATTAGAAGGATGCAACAACAAACCAAATGGTTGGAACTACGTGTGAGGTACCCGCACGAAGGACCAAACTTGGGAGAAGTCTGAGTACCCTATGAGCTGTTAGTGCTTCGTCCTTTGGCCTACCAGGGAGTCTCTTTTACCCTTTTATTAGTTATGGTGTGCATTGGGGACAATGCACAATTTTAAGTTTGGGATGAGGAGATTGTCTGTGTGACTTTCTATGCTATTTTAGTTGTGTTAGTTTAATTGAATAATTTTTTTTGTAAAATAGAAAAGATTGGACTTTTCCCGACGATGGATCTATTAGACAATTTTCTTGAGGGATTTAAGTCTAAAAATAAAATAAAAAGATTTTTTTTTGTTAGGTAGTGTAGCAATTCTCCCTTGGTTTTTCTCTGTGACGCGGTTCTTTTTCAAGGGCTTTATTTGAAACGGGTGTAATTATTTTTTTTAGAAATATGAGTCATTGTATTGTGTTTTGAATTGAAGCAATATCTCTTGACTTTGTTATGCCTTGAGAATAGTGAGTACTTTGGTTGTGACGCTTAGGCTCAGTTGTTGACTTTTATATAAGTACCTTAAATCGTATGATTTTAAATGTAACTGTTTTGATTAGAGTATCTTGGTAAATCCAATCCTGAGTGAGTTATGTGCCATGTGTGTGTGTGTGAGGTTTGGGTGTTATTTTGTGCATTGCATTTGATGCCTAGAACTTGCCCCGTGTGTTTGCAAAGCGAAATAGTAGTTTTATTCAGTCTAGGAAGTGATATAGGCATTTCTTTGTTGAGCCAGGTATATATATTTTACCCGCCTAATTATTATGTATCGTAGTTAACCCTTTTGAGCTTGTAATCCTGTTTCTTTGGAAACCACATTACAAGTCTTACCCATTTGTCTGAATTAACCATCTATTTGAACCATTGTAACCTCTCATGAGCACTTGAATTGTTTATGAACTTTATAAAGGTTAAAGTGTGGGGTGGTTGGTATGACTTTTGAGTGGAACTAATTAAATAAGGAGAAAGGTGCACTGTTTTGAAAAAGTAAGAGCCACTTGAATTGAAAAAAAAGAAAAAAAATAGTTGTATTGTTGTGAAAATAATATTCCTTGATAAGTGGTGGCTTTTGATATAAGTGTGCTTAAAGAAAAATGAGGTAATATACATTGATGTGAAGGTGGAGTTTGGTTTGACATAAATATGTGGTTTGAATGTTAAAGTATATGTATTAAAGTGCTTAGAGAGGTGTAGTCACTCTTATATCCAAATATATCCTACCCGTCCCGCAACCTGCATTACAACCAAATAAAGTCCTACTTGATCCTAGACTGAACGAGCTCGATTAGTAGAGTAGTACACTACGGGCAATCTTATGGTGCAACTTTTGTGGCGTATGAATGTTATTTCTGAGAGTGAGTGAATTCTTTCTATCTTGAGTTCC